GGAGACAGTAGATAACTATACCATCAGCCCACTAACATCAAAGTATAGTAGGTACAGGGGCCACCACGCGGTGTGGTGGTTAAGGGCGCTGGACTCCCACATGGCTGACAATTTGAGTCCCGGACCTGGTAGTTTTCTCTCTCTCTCTCTGTTCCTCTCTAGTCAAATTTAAATAAATAAATGTTCAATAAAATAATTCTTTTGTTAAAAAAAAAAGTGTAGTAGGTACAAAGGCAGAAGAAAGGAAGGAGTGACTAAATGCGGTAGCACGAGGGATGTCAGAGCTGGATTGCGAAGCATGAATAGGGGAGGAGAGAGGGGCCCAGGGAAGAAACTTACAATTGAGAACATTTCATTATTGTTTTGCCCACCTCTCTGGACTTTGACCAAGACTCAAAAGCCAAGTTGCATGATGGCCAACTTTGAGAACCCTGGTTGTTGAGACCCCCAAGAAAGGCTGAGGGAAAGGGACAGATGGAAAGAAGGGGAATGAGTGGTTTCACAAGGGCAGAACACAGACAAGCAGACTGTTGAATAGTCTTAGTACCCCTCACAGGTTAAGGGTCCCACAAGAGAGGGGAGAAGGAGTGAGAAGGACAGGGCACATTATTAACGCTTCATCCTGGCCTGGAACACCCTCTCCCTGTTCATCGCTTCGCCTGCTGATGTCTGCTCAGGCAGAGAGACCTTGGTGGTACAGAGGAGCCCTTGCTCCAAAATCGGCAGGCCTGGGGTCTTGTGGTGTTGGTTTTGTGATCTTGTGCTTGCTTCAAAACTTTTGTTCACCACAGCCTGGAGAGCAATATAGTGGTTACATCACTGGGTTCCCACATAGCCAACTGTGGTTCAAGTCTTGGACCCAACAACTTAAAACTCGTGCAGGGTGCGTGTTTGTGAGTGCCCAAAATCCCAAGAAGAGAATGAAGGAGAAGGAATCACGGCGTGGCCAACCCCTCTGGGGGATGATTTCTCTCTTCATGTCCCTCTGTCTCTCCAGCGAGCACACAAGCCCTATAGCAAAAATCTCTCTCTAAAAAAAAAAAAAAAAAGGAAAAAGGATAATGACTTGGCACTCAGGGCTCTTCTCTATCTAGCCCCAGTGACCCTTGTGACCTCATCTGATCCTTGGCCCTTCTAACTTCAAATAGCCAAACACTTCTTTCAGATCCTGTGCCTTCATAGACATGACTCCCTCACTCTGACATTTGCGCCCTCACCAATCCAACACAGAGAATTTATATTCTTGTTTTAAGACATGACTCTGCTGTCACCACCTCCAGGTGGCCTTCCCTAGCTGCTCAAGCCAGGTAGCAATTGACTCTGGGCCTCACAGCCCTCAAACTTCCTCTACACCAGCATCTGGACCAGATCTGCTCTTGCTGTTTCCTTTCCACTCTCCACAGAACAGCTGGAGGATCTTTCTTCAACACAAGACTCCCTATGCTACTTCCCTGCAAAAAGGAAATAAAGAAAAAAGGCAAAAAAGAACCTTCATTTCTTGGTGTAAAGGCCATCATCTTTACTGAGGTCTACCAGACGGTGTGTGACCTCACTCCAGCCTGCCTCTCTGCCTTTCCCTTTCCTCCTTGGCTTCAGCTAAACTGACCTTTTGTTCTTAATGTACCAAGTCTCTCTCCTCCTTAGGACCTTTGCACTTGCTTCCCTGCTTTAACCTGGCTAATGTCATCAGAGCTCAGCTCAAAGCTCCCTTCTGAGAATCCCTCAGGTGTGCACACACACCCAGCTAGTTTAGGTGTTTAGCACAGCTAGTTTACCACAATTGCAATTTTAGAGGTGATTATTAACTATTTAATGCCCCTCTCTCCCCAGGTAGGGTCCATGCCTGTCTTGTTCATTGCTACAGAAGAGACATGTGAAGCATAGAACAGGTACTCAAGAAGTGTTTGCTGAATGACTGTGGGAGCACTTAACCCTTACCATCTTACATGAAATCTCCAGTTTACCCAGTTACTTTCACATTGGTCTGTGAGTTCTGGAGGGTCAGCACCCAGGCCCATGTTTGGCATTTCATGGGCTCACAAGGGTTTTCTAAGCCCGAGAGACACTGCCATGTGCTGCCCAGATTCCCCCATCAGTGAAGACATGGGGCATCGGCAGCTGGAAATGCTGTGAGCAGAAAACCTTTCACTGGCAGCCCCAGGGGTAGGGTCTTCCTGGCTGTCATATTCCTTCCCAGATGGTTTCACATCCGATGACTGATGAAAGCGGGGGTACAAAGGCATGGCCATCTTAGCTCATCTGGGGACAACTCTGATGGGCCATTCTAGCCACAGAGCCCCTACTGAGCCATCCAAGACTGTCCTTGCATGGGGCCCTCTGCCTCTCGCTCTGCCATTCCTGTTCCCTCCTCACCCTTCCACAAAAGGAGGAGGAAGTGGCTTATTCCGAGGGGCCTCCTTCATAAACATTCTGCACTCCAGTCTCATCTCAGAATTTGCATTCTTCCAGGAACCCAAACTGCAACAGGCCTTCGGCTTTTCTCCTTCGATCTGTCACTTTCAAGAACTATTTTTTCATTCACCTGAAGTTTAGGAACTATTTCATCTGTCAAAGTGTCTTGCATCCATTTTTCTCTTAGTCCTATTCTAAACTGACGAGGTGGGTCAAAAGCGGGAGTCTAGCCCACTAAAAAGGGGGAGAAACTGAGGCCCGGGGTGGCAGAGTGACCAGCCAACCCACACTAATTAGAAGCTGAGTCTGAGGCCCAGATTTTGCTGCCCTCTCCCTACCAACTGCCTGCGTCCTGGAACAACGGCCTCGGCAAAGCAGATTGTGCACTAGTGGTCGGAATCCTGAGCATGGCTCCGAGCGCGGGACAGGGGCTGGGGGCGGGGGCGGAGTCCCGCCATCCCGCAGCACAGACCGGGAAACTGAGGTCCAGGGCCTGGCGCTCCACCGGCCGCCGTGCAGAAGGAGCAGGG